CATAGAATCTGAAGCAGGCTCCAGGCTCCAAGCCATCAGCACAGCCTACAAACCGTGAAATCATGACCTGAGCCAAAGTCAGATCCTTAACTGACTGAACCACCCAGGTGTCCCAAGGAAGAGAGAGAATCTTAAGTAGGCTTCATGCCCAGTGTGGAGCCTCACGTTGGGCTCCATCCCACCACTGGGAGATCATGGCTTGAGCCAAAATCAAGAGTCAGATGCCTAATGAACTGAGCCACCCAGGCGCCCCTGTTTATTCCCATTTTTAACCACATAAGCATACATTTGCCCACCCCAGTACAAAAGATTTTGATAAATCTATAAGGTATATCTGTTTCCTAAAATTTCAGGACTGCCATATTATAATAGGTAAACCACTGCATTGCTACTTCAGTTTTCCCAGTCTCTAAATTTGTTAAAGTATTGATGTGGAAAATATTGGCATTCGGAGAAAGAATTCTTGAGATGTCTTTGGTGCAAAAAGGTGGTTTTATTAAAGCACAGAGACAGGATTTGTGCGCAGAAAGTGCTGCACTGGGGTTGTGACGGTGACTGATTATATACCTTCAGGTTGGGAGGGGGTTAGGGACAGGGAAAGTCTCTAAGGTATTTTGGCAACAAGGTTTCCAGGACACTGAGGGGCTAGTTGCTGTTAGGAAAATGTCATTTATTACTGTTTAGTAAAAACTCAGTCATGAGACCCTTTAGATATATATTAAGGGGCTGTAAGCTTGCAGTATGATTGTCAACATATATCTGGGGAGGGAGAGAGATAAAGGAAGTTTCCAAAGGAATTTTTTTATGTTTAAAGTAGACTTACAGGATGCTGGAGGTCCAAATAACATTAAGCTAAGATTGCCTTTTGCCCTTAGCAAATTGTCATCATCAAGGGAGCTGAGCTTCCAGAGGAATATCACTTTGCCTGTCTCAAGGACTTGTCATTGGGCTGTAAGTTGTAAGGAAATATTAATTTTTTCTTCTGCCTTTGTTCCTCACATCAATTGTGAATGTTATCCATGTGCCATCACCAATGGTGATAGCTTTTAAAAGGACAACATTGAAAGCAATGAAAAATAACAACCAGGGCTGACAGTGACAACTGTACTAGCAACAAATGTTTCAAAATCAGAAGGAAAAGTAATAAGAATTCCACGAGTCCTCAACTCATAAAAAGGTTATTTCTGTATATTTGGAACTAAAACCACACTTTCCAATAGAAATATATAATTCTAGTAAAGGGAGAGTATATTCTGGGCGTGTAACAGCCTGTCCTAAATAAGGCGAGGAGGGGACCAGAACGCTAGCAAGAGGCAAGTGAAAGGCGATTTATATTTGCTGGAAACTCGGAAGTTTGCTTTGGCCACCTTCTTCAGTAAGGGCGGCCAGAGTCCAAGAGCCGGCCCACCGGCGCCCCAGAACTACAATTCCCAGAATGCCACAGTGCAGGCTCCCAGCGGATGCAGTCTCGGGCTCCCGGCCCTGCAGGCCCTGCTGCTGGTCGACATCAGCCCCTCTGCGCTCATGGCTTCCCCGAGCAAGGCAGTTATTGTTCCTGGGAATGGAGGTGGGGATGTGGCCACCCACGGCTGGTACGGCTGGGTGAAGAAGGGGCTGGAGCAGGTAAGAGACAAGCCTGACCGCGCTGGGAGCCTTGAAGGGACAGAGGGGACAGTGGACTGAAGTTTGAACGTGTGTTCACCTCGTCCCCAGCCCCCCACCCCTTCAGCGAAGCCCTGTGTTTCACTGCTCTCCCGGCTGCCCTGTCTCAAACTCTAGAACTAGTGGTCAGAATTTTGGTGGATAAAACTGCCCGGAAGACTTCTCTGAAGATTCAGTGGTTAGAGTACAAGGCACCACCTCTTAGAGCACCCCCCTGTCTCTCTGCATCTGTTGCTGGTTCAGATTTGGGGCTTACTAGATAAGTGTATCTCTGTCTTCTCTGCTTCCTGCCTCAGATTAAAAAAAAAAAAATCAGTATGTAATATTTAATATAGGAAAAAGATGAATGTAACATACATGGAAATTGTGAAGTATAATGTAATGAATACCTGAGACTCCATAACCAAACTAAACTCTGCAACATTAACAATACCTTGGAAGCCACATGTATACCCCCCCATCCCATTTCCCTGAATTTTTTTTCATTTGCTCCTCTTTTAAAAATGAACATACCTTTGCAGCTATGTGGGTATACTTTGAACAATATCTTATTTAATTTGGTTTCTTTGTGAGCTTTACACAAATGGCGTTGTGTCCCACTGTAATTGTCTTGTGCATCTTGATTTTTTTTTTTTTTAACCTCTTCCATAACCAGTCAATAGGACTGCTTCCTGGGTTGCCATCCTTTAGAGCTCTAGAGTATGTGTCTAGAAGAAAATTTCAGGTTGTGGCTGAAAACCAAGGCCAGAGCTACAGATCAAAAAGAGCAGGACTGAAGCTGTCCAAGAGGGTGGGATCTCCAACTTTCTGTACCACATTTTGTACCATGTTTTACCTACTTCCTGGTGCACAGTCTTTTTGACTCCAGTTTGTCTAGCATGCATTCATTCATGATGCCTGTGTAGATACATGCCTACGGTGATAAACAGAGATGCACAAATGCAAATATGTACAGAGCTGGCTACGTAAGAACTACAGACAGAAGGCAGTTTATCAGGAGGGATTGTCTGTTCACATGGAATCCAATGGCACTTAACCTGCTTCATTTCATAATGTAAGCGAAGACTTATTGAATTGATAGAGATCATATCAGGTGTCTCATTTCTTATTAGCAAAGTATTAGTTGTAATTAAGCTCTTTATTATAGCTTTTTTTTCCCCTCATGTCATAGATACCTGGTTTCCAGTGTTTGGCTAAAAACATGCCTGACCCAAGTAAGTTTTAAACATGTTTTTAAATAGCCTCATCGTGTTGGGTTTTGATCTTGCCATTTTCCTGGTATAGAACAGGAATATCGTAGTACAGAAGCCAAAGGGAGTATATACCTAAGAATGAATGAAGGCAAGTAGTTTGGGGAAAAGGGTGTAAACCAAAAAGCATCATAGAAAATTCTAGTAAGGATCGAGAAAAGCACCCGGGCTTGGTAAAATTTAATTTTCCACTTTTTAAGCAACTCAGTTTTCCCTTCTATAAGTCAACAGATTCAACAGATATTTTCAGGCAAAATGTATGAGTGTTTCATGTGAGACAGAGATATGATAAAACTTCACAGCACCTATATGAGATCCAAATATTTCAAAATGTAACACTGCCACTTTTGTTCTGACTATGCCCATGACTTGTGTCAGGAATTTCCTCTTAGGAAAGAAAGCATATTTATACATGTGAATTTGAGAATGTTGTCTAGAGTTATTTCTTTTTTTAAAAATTTTTAAATTTATTTTTGAGAGAGAGAGAGGCAGAGTACGAGCAGAGGAGGGGCAGAGAGAGAGAGGGAGACATAGAATCCAAAGAAGCCTCCAGGCTCTGAGCTGTCAGCACAGAGCCCAATGCGGGGCTCAAACTCATGAACCATGAGATCATGACCTGAGCTGAAGTCGGATGCTTAACCGACTGAGCCACCCAGGTGCCCCTAGAGTTATCTCTTAAGTTTACATTAAAGCTGCAGAATTATATTTT